AAAAAAATGTGACAATGAGTGTGTATATGTCCATGAATGACTGAAAAATTGTGCTGAACACTGGAATTTGACACAACATTGTAAAATGATTATAAATCAATAAAAAATGTTTAAAAAACAAAGGACTGAAAGATTGAGCTCAAAAAAAAATAATAATCACGTGTTTTCAGAGTTGGAAAGAATCTCAAGAGATTGTCTCTTTGAAGAAGGAAATGGAGCTCTCATAAATATAACAGACTTTCGGAAAACCCCAGGTTTCCAAAGTGGCAAATCTATGCTTTTTCTACATATCATGTTGCTTTTTTACAGTCATTGTGGTTATTAGAAAAACCATTACTTGTAAAACAGCAACATGCTCCCTGGTCAGATGATGTTACTGTTAACTGTCTGCTAACCATCCTGACTGAGAAAAGTGATACTTACAGAAGATTGTTTGAAGGTTATACAGTCCATCCACTTCTCTAAGTACTCTAAAGTCTTTCCTTGGATTAAATTGGGCCATGAGAAAGCTATATACTTGGACCATATTAGCTTAGCTCCTTGAAGAATTGCCTTCACTGAGTTGTATATTAATGTAATGCCTTCAGCATTTATTGAAGGGGACTACAAGAAACATCAATATAAAATTCATTACTGCATTCATTGGGAAAATGTTGACATTACTTGCAACAGTACCCAGCTTTCTCTAATATAAAACCCGTACGATATAGTTTAAAAATAAGAATTTAGTGTAGGAAAAAATTTATTTTTTCCTGAAGAAATGTATACTTCCATTTTTTGGTTAAAGAAAAATGTGCCCCCCGCCCCTGCCATGAATTACACTCATAGCCAAGAAGCTCAGAATTTGAGTCTCAGATCCACTAGCTGTGTACTTCAGTTAATGTTCTGGCCCAAATGGTGAACATATTTGTAGTCTATTTTCCTTCATCCTGATTCTCTACTTCTATTTCAATTTTATTTTATAATAATTTAAGTACATGCAAGCATTCTTTTGGTAAACTGCCTGAAATGCTTTGGGAACAAGGCAAGATGTTCAAATGTGATGTTTTCTATGAATTGCATGGAGTGAATCACAAAACAATGGTACATTTCATGTTAGTTTAGATATTATGTTGCTATGTCTGTGTTTTAAGTAATTTAATATCTAGCGTATTTCCAGAGAATATGCTTGTCTTGGCCAGTGTAGAACCACTGAATAAGATTTAGAAATAAAAACAATCTCAAGATGAAAATTTTTTTTTAATTCAAATAAATTATGTGCTAAATGTTATGATAGGGATTGGCAGAGAAATAATGAATAAGACAAAACTATTATCTTCTTAGCTCATTTTTCAAACAGATTTGTTTACAATAAAAGTATAATTTCATGAGGCTGCATTAAAGGAATTTATGCCAGGTACTGTAGAAACATATTGGGGTGGGGGTGGCAATTAGATTCAATTGGATAGATCTTAAGGAATAAGTAGTTAGGGAAGGAAGGAGAGGGCAATTTAGCAGGAGAAATCAGCACATCTAATGTCATGGAGATGTGTAGAGGCATAGATATTTTGGGATGTTTGTAATGGCTCAAGGAAGAATATGAGCATGGACTTTAGATCTGTGTTCAATCTTGGATTCACCATTTGTTAAACGTGTGATCCTGAGCGAGTAACTTTCCTTGACCAATCTTCTATTTCCTCATTCTAACATAGAGATTTCCTAGGCACATAGTAGTAAATGTATAACAAATAATATTTTTCTTATTATTCATCATGTAAACAAACATATGATAAAGATATATATTTAGACCATATTAGCTGAGCTGCTTGAAGAATTGCTTTCAACAATTCATTAAAGAGCTAAAAAAATTAAATGATCAGATTTCTGTTTTAGAAAGATGACTGCATTACTGTAGAAGATGGATTAAAGGGAGACATAATTAGAGATAATGAGGAATAAAAAGACTCAATGAGAAATGGCAAGGGCATGGTCTATGACATAAGTAGGAGAATGGACACCACTGGATGACTGGTGAGATCTTAAGGGACACTTCCAAGTTGGTATGTGAGATTAGGTTTTTCCATGAACTGAGATATAGATTTTAAAAAATAAGCATGGATAGGGAGGAAATATTAAATCAGTTTAGGGTATTTTATGTTTGTTTATTTTTTGTTTCACCTTTTGTAAAAGCTATGTAAAGATTGTAATGTTGTATTCATGTAGAAATGCCCAGGGAATAGGTTGGATCTATTAATCTAGAAGTTAAAAGACAGGTATGGGGTATAGTTGTAGATAATAACTGTGGAAGGTAAGATAAAGGCATGGGCTGTAGATTTGGTTATACTTCATTAATTCATACCATATTTATTGATCAATTACTATATGCAAGGCCCTGTGCAAAGGACAAAGGATAAATGATTTATTAAAATAAACATGGTCATTATTATCATATCAATGAAGGAGTTGAGACATAAAAAGGCAATTACAAACTGTGATAAAGGATCAAATGCAGAGGGTATTATACACAGCTACAGAGTGACCAAATCATTCCAGGTTGAGGGGAGCAAGTGTTCAGAAATTTCCTGAGGGTTGCTATGTGTGTTGAGGATGAGTAGGGCTTGTCTAGTTGGAGACAATAAGTGATGGACAGCGTGCTGGTGTTGCTGACATTACTAGAAATATCATCAGTAACATCGTAAAAGTGAGATTCACATAGTGAGGAGTAAAATAAAATAAGATAAAATATGATAAATTTGAATGCCTGTCTCTTTGGGGATAAACAAGAGTGGATGCTAGGGAGACCAGATCTACTCTGAACTCAGGTAAAGAATTTCAAAGAATAGAATGAATAGTAGCAGCTGTCACGATTTGAGGAAAGAAGTTGATACTCTAAGGCCTGTTTTAAGGTCTGAAAGAGGAAAAAAAAATTGCAGACTTGGGCCTGAAATGGAGTTCTGGAACATAACCACAGTCAACGGTTATGTGGGGATCCTTTACAAAAAATGGAAAATTATTATCTGATCTCAAAATGTGGAGGTTACTGGTGTCCTTCAGACTCAGGACAATAAATGGAAAGGGAATCTGATTACAGTGGATTGAGAATTAAATTGAAAGTGAGAACAAAGACGTTGTAATCAATGCTTTCAAAAAGCTTAAGTGCAGAAAAAGAGGGCTGAATCTGATGATGGCACAGTAGGTGATACAGTATCTGGAGAGGGTCTGGTTTTGCTTTTATGGTAAAATAAGTATATTAAGCATCTTCAGAAACTTGAAGGAGGTGGTTGAAAAGGAGAAGATGGCTTAAAAGACATAAGAAGAAAACAATAACTGATGGCTCAAGGTTGAAAAAGGAACAAAGGGATCAAGAGCTGGATTGGAAGAATTAGTCTTGAGCAAGTGGAAGAACACTGGGTAAGAGAGAAGGTTCCAGAAGAACTTGGGAAGTTGTATAAACAGATTCTCTCATATATGGAAGGGAATAAAAATTTGAACTTGGATTATTTGACTCAGCACTACATTTTTAGAATGATAAAGCTGTAAGTGGAGTAAGCCAGAGAGAGAATATGATGCTGCTTAAATGTGGAGTCTAAAAAAAGGACACAGTGAACTTATCTACAAAACAGAGGCAGACACGCAGACACGCAGACATCAGAACAGACTTTCGGTTGCCAGTGGGTAAAGAGGGAGGGAAGGGATAAATTGGGAATTTAAAAATTGTTTTAATTTAAAAAAAATGATAAAATTTTGTTGTCTAATTTCACACCTGAGGCTAAAAGTAGTGTGCAAACTTGTACAAGATCTCAGAGCAAGGTAGGCTTTGTTTTCTAATAAAGGGCTCAAACGTGGCTTGAGTATGATGTGAGTGGATTTATTTATCTGCGAAACTTAACTCTAAAGGTCATCACAGCACGATCTACACGTAAACTGTATGTTAAATACACATCTTTTTTTCAAACATACAATAATAATATAAATCTCTGAGTGATTATTTTTATGAGACAGACTAATACTTGCCAGTTAATAAACCTTTAGGAACTTTTTATATGCTCTTTGGATTGCCAGATAATTTAAGTGCATTTAATCAAATTTAGTAACTTCAAAAAAGAGGACTTCTGTCAGTCTGGTTAAACTGAAAGGATGCCAGTTTGGCCTATCAATAAAAACTTTGTATTTCAGGAAAATTATTGTTTTCCGCTTAAAAATTAAATGTAAGGAAAACTAAAGCAGAGGTAAATAGCATTGAAATACTTTCAGGCAGATGCACTAGCTTGGGGTACCCTACTAGATTTTTTTTAGTCTAAGGACCTGATTCTTTCCAAGGAAATTTTAGGAAACACCTCCCAAAATTCATTTGAATTATGAAAATGTATTGAATACCCACTGATAAATTTACCATTGCAAAGTTTACCAAGTTGCAATTTACCATTGCAAAGTTTTAAAACAACTTTCCACGAAGACAAAAAGTCTTCTCATTGGTATTGCATTGCCAGATTTAATATCAGAAACTCTTTTATTATTTTATTCAATAAAACTGTCTGCAGTGTCTACTAAGGACCTGGCACTGTGCTTGGTACTCTAGCTATGGACAAGTGATTAACAACAAGCAATGTGCCTGATGTAATGTCTCCTTTGATTTAACCACTGAACTTGAACCACTGAGAACTGAAATAATAGAAACTTTGTTAGTTGTTTTACTTCAAATTAGGTTGGAACATAAAGAATTTCGACCTGGATTTATTTTCACTGTGTGTGATCGGATATGTGGATAGACTTAAATCCAGCATTAGTTGGGAGTAGGCTATTGCTGATTTTTCAAATGAATTATCAAGCATGTGTTTTTTGCATTGATAGGTACTTCTGTTTTCCAAGTTCAGGTATAATATTTGATATGCCAAATCACAATGTCAACTTAAATGGCAGCCTCATAGAATTAAAAATAACATATCAATATATTTCTATATGGGACATTTACACCACAAACCACTATTTATCTTTTATGACATATTTAAAAAGCATTTTATCTTCAAAAAATGTTAGTATGAAAGTACATGTGTAACTGACATAAGTAAAGGAAGTAATTGCTTATATAGAAATGAAAAAGCAGTATACTATATTGGGAATGAAAACATAAGTCAACAATAAAATGTAATGGAGATGGTGAAATAACCTAGAAAAACTAACTATAGAAAATTAATCAGATTTCCTTTAATATTTACTCATTGGTTATTAGTATGCAAAACATAGCCTATAAAATGAAATAAACCAGCACTCTTATTAAAACTTTTATAGTTTACAAAATTAAGGAAAAAGAGCAAGACTTTTAAATTATAGCATCAATTGTTTGTATACTTAAACTGCAGTATGGTCATAGAAATGAGGAAAAATATTTATATTCAAATAATTGAAAAAGAAAGAAAATCAGCAAGTATGTTATTCCAAATATAACGGAAGAAATATTTAGGTAGATACGCTGTTAAAAAGAAGCCCTCCAAGTAGAACGTTTTACTACTATTAAGAATACTTTCTATCTCATTGTGATACATCCAAAGCCTCCACTTTAGGCAGATGAATAATAATCTATAGAATAAGAAAGGAAACAGCTGTTGTATCAAAGCACAAAACTCCTACTTCCTTCAGTACTTGAAACCTAAAAAAGGACACCAATAATTCCTAAAATGTTAATCTTACAAACAAAAGGTTTTCCCCTATAGACTACACAAGCAACTTAAAACATCTAGCATTCCAGTATCTATGTTCTTATTCCATACAACATGGGAGAGATTGCAATGCTGCCTGTTTTGTATTCAGGCAACAAAGAAGAGAGTAGGAGGAAAGTAACTTAGTCCACTGATAGGGCCTGAAATTCTGTAACAAGTAAAGTTAATACCTTCTTTCTTTTGAAAAATCCTTTTTACTATAAAGCAATGTGATGCTTCAGAGCATGAACTTCATGGTCAGGCAGATCTGGGTTCAAGTATACTGACTGACTAGTTGTGTGAGCTTGAGCAAGTAAATAAATTCACTTAGCCACAGCTTCTTCATCAGAAACAAATGAGAATTAAAAAGAGACCCTAGTTAGAAAGTTGTAACGATTACATGAGAGAGCATATGTAAAAATCTTAGTACAGTGCTGACACACAGTCAGAGCTCAGAAGGTGCTAGCAAGTGGTTTTAACGGAAGTAATACTGCTACAAGCACTCCTAAAGGATTTCAGGCAAGAGCACACTTTAAGAGAAGTCTGTATGATTCATTTTACATATATAACTTATGGTTGAATTTTTTGGAACTTTATCTGTAACAGGCCAAATCTGTTGGGGGACTCTCTTAATCACGGGGAGAAGGAAGTTCTCACTTACCTTGTCATTTACTACACTCTTCCCATCCCAAGCCCATCCTCTTTTGGTGAAGTAGTTAACAGTCGCAAATTCAATTAGGGCAGAGAACACAAATGCATAACACACAGCAATAAACCAGTCCATGGCAGTTGCATAAGCCACTTTGGGGAGAGAATTCCGAGCACTGATGCTTAGTGTTGTCATCGTTAGAACAGTTGTTACTCCTGCAGAAAGATGGGAACCACAAACATCAACAAATGCCAGCAGGACAACATTGGAAATACTCTTTTTCCCCAAAGCTACTTTCACTGCCACCTCTAGCCACTAAAATAAAAACAAACGAACAAACAAAAATCTTCTGGAAGAAAATAGTGCAAATTAACTATTATAAATGGTTATTATAATTCTTGAAGGGATGACTCTGAAATGCTTTCTTTTTTTTGGTATAAATTCCTTTTTTTCTCAAGTATTGTTGAGGTTAGAAAGACTGGTGAAACTCAAGTTGAATTTACAGTGAGGAAAGCTGGTCCTTGAAATTGACCCATTGTCTATTAACATTAATTTTTTAAAAATCCTACATAAAGCTTCGCATTAATCTGTTCACCATTTATTGAATCATGATAAGCAGTGGACCAATTATCCACAGTAATGATCACAATGGAACTACAATTAAGAAAGTCTTCATTCTAAGTATAGTTACCTAAGTATGAAATTAATTCTGAATTGCCTAGTATTAGTATTAAGACAGTGTCTTTCACAATGTAGCTTAGAATCTATAGAAAATAAAGCAAACAACTAAACCTCAAACCGTAAAAAAATATGAATCACTGTTTTTAAGGAATATTTTATACCTCTGTTGGTTTAAAAAACAATCTCGTTCCTTTCATTATAAAGCTTTTCTGCCTATAGTCAGGGAATCACAACAGTTAAGTGACAAGAACCAACAATTCAGGAGGTATTTACAACATCAGCAGTCAAAACGTCTACAATTACCTGTTTTAGCAGAGACCCAATAGAGGATTAATTATGTACATAGGGGATACATTAAATTGAAAGAGAATTAAATGTTGAAGAAATGTTCATTCATATATTGAAATTTTTATGTTTTATTTTTTACTTTCCCTTAGGATAAATAAAACAGCTTTTTTCTCATCCACAGTAGAGTTAGCAATTCAAAATACCAATAATTCTGTTTAATCATGAGTGAATGCATCTGGGAATATGATGGTAGTAATAAGAATGAAAGGTAGAAAAATAAATTTAACTCACCTGCTGCTGAGTCAAATTTAAAAAACACATTTACAGAAATACTGTGTTTGCATGCATCAAGCTGTGAAAGGTTTTAGATTGTGAAGATGTCTTCTTTTGAGAATTTGGTACAGGAGAATAATTAAATAGAATACAAGACAGATATACCCACATACATACCCACAAACCACAACCATATCCTACTCTAAACACACACACACACATATTTGTATCAATGCAAGTGATATATCAATATATGAAAATATATTTAACTTCATAAGCATTCAAGGAAAAAAACCAATAGTAAGATGCATTTTTAAAACAATATTACCAGCAAAATGTTAGTAAAACTTCAAAAGATTGATACTATTCTGGTGTTGAGGTGAATGTGGAGCAATGGACATCCTCTTCAATAGGAATTACGAATTGGTGAATATCTAAGAAACTATTGCCTAATCCAAGGTCATAAAGATTTAGGCTTATATTTTCTTGAATTTTATAATTTTAGTTCTTACGTTTAGGCCTTTGGTCCATTTTGAGGTGATTTTTGAGCAAGGTAGATGTCCAAATTCATTCTTTTGCATGTGGATAGCCAGTAGTCCCAGCACCATTTGTTGAAAAGACTTTTCTTTCCCCATTAAATGATCTTAGCATTATTGATGAAATCATTTGACCACACAAATATGAGTTTATTTCTGGACTTTCCATTCCATTCCATGAATCTACATGCCTGTCCTCATGCAAATTTCACACTGTTTAGATGACTTACAGATTTAGAGTAAGTGTTGAAATCGGAAAGTGTGACCCCTTCAACTATGTTATTCTTTTTCAAGGCTATTTTGGCCATTCAGGGTCCCTTACACTTCCCTGTGATTTTATGGCTAGTCTGCTCATTTTTTCAAAAAAAGTTATTGGAATTTTCATAGATACTGTCTTGTTTGGGGTAGTTTTGCCATCTTAATTATATTAAGTCTTCCAATCCCCAAACATGGGCTACCTATCTATTTCAATTATGTGTACATATATAATCACCATTTATTTAGAGTTTCTTTAATTTCTTTCAACAATATTTTGTAGTTTCCAACGTACAAATCTTTCATCTTTAAACTTTTATTATTTATAGGCATTTTATTCATTTGGATTGTTATATAAACAGAAATATCTTCTTAATTTCCTTTTCAGATTGTTCATTGCTAGTGTATAGAAACAAAACTGATTTTTTGTGTTGATCTTGTACCCTGAGACTTTGTTGAACACATTAGCTCAAATAGTTTGTGTGTAGTTTACTAAGAATTTCCTATATATAAGAAAGTGACCTGCAAATAGTGTTTTACTTCTTTCTTTACAAACTGAATGCCTTTTATTTATTTTTCTTGCCTAACTGCTCTGTCTAAAGTTTGCAGTATGATGTTGAATAGAACTGGAGAAATCAGAGATCCTTATCTTGTTCCTGATGGTAAGGCAAAAGCTTTTAATCTTTCATCTCTAAGTACGATGTTAGCTGTGGGCTTTTCTTAAATCTACTTTATTGAGCTGAAAAAGTCCTTTCCTGGTGTTAGTTTGCTGATTATTTTTATCATGAAAGATGTTGTATTTTGTTTTTCAGAGTCTATTGAGATAATTGTGTTTTTTCATGTTCCATAAATATGTTGGTATTACATTGACTGCTTTTTGTATGTTGAACCAATCTTGCATTCCTCAGGTAAATGTCACTTGGTCATGTTTTGTAATCCTTTTCATATGTTTGCGGCTAGCTTCAGTTCATTAGTATCTTGTTGAGAATATTTGCATCTGTACTCTTAAGGGATATTGATCTGCAGGTTTGTTTTTTTTTTTTTCCCTTGTGATTTCTTTGGTTTTGTTATCTTGGCAAAGCTCCACAGGGTGAATCAAGAAGTTCCCTCATCTATTTTTTCAAAGAGTTTGAGAAAGAATTTTGTTAATTCTTCTTTCAGCATTTGGTAGAATTTGCCAGAAAAAGCCATCTAGCGTTAGGCTTTTATTGATTTTTCTTTTTGTTTGCTCACTCAGGGCTTATTATAGATTTATTCAGACTCAAATCAGTTTTGGTAACTTTTCGAGGAATTAGTCCCAGTTATCTAATTTTTTGGCATACAATTGTTCATAGATTCCCTTATAATCTTTCTTATGTCTAAAGGTCAGTAATTACGTCCTCTCTTATTTCATGATTTTAAAATTTTGAGTCTTCTCTCTTTTTTTCTTGATCAGTCTAGCTAAAATCTTGACAATTTTGTTGACATTTTCAAAAACCAACTTATGGTTGGTTTTCTCTATTATTTCTATTCTTTATTCCATGTATCTCTGTTCTAATTTTTATTAATCCCCTTCTTCTTGCTCTAGGTTGTTATTTATTTATTTGTTTGTTTGTTTGTTTTTAAAGTGGAAGGTGAGGTTGCTAATCTGAGATCTGTATAAGGTATCCTATAAGGATACAATATAAGATAATAGTTACTTATGGAAATTAACATTGAAGGAATTTCTTTTCTTTTTTCCCTTTGCAGTGAACCTGCTTTGCATTTGCAATAAGAAAAAATAAAAAAATTTAATTTAAACAAAAGATTGTTAATGACATTTAATCATTTCCAATTCAAGTGTGATTCTTGGGAATGACTGACAGACACCTTAATGCCAACTTAAAGAAAATCAACAAAAAAATGCATATTCAAATTCTAGCAAACTATAAATTTAACTATGATTCTAAGTCTATTCTACTAACTGAAAATTAGACTTGGGTCTAATCATTCACGTCAATAAAATGTGATAGTAATTTCAATAGGAATCTACTATGAAGCTGTCTTTCACCATATTCAAATTTTCTGTATAACTAAATTTTATTTTCTTTCATCTGATTGTGGAAACTTGACAATAACATTGTTGACACTAACTGTAAGTTCCTTCCTCCATCCCTCCTTTCCTTCCTTTCTTGTTTTTACTGGAAGGATAAGATGCTTATACGCCAGCTTTTCCACCTGCTAGTACAGCCTAGTGTGGTCCCACAACACAGTAGACAGAAGAGTGAGGCATTAAGTAAAGAACTGCACTTCCATAGAAACCTTCCACGTGCCCGTCTTCCAGCGCCAGGCATTTTCCTATACCTAGTAGGGCCTCCATAATGAATGTTCCCACAGCATTTCTGTAACAGACTGTATCTTTCCTCATCACCTCTGTTACCACCAAAACTCAATGCTTCTTTGGGAGGCTTAAGTTCCTTTTTCAGTAAAATAAAATGCAAATATTTTAAAGTGCTTTCAGCACTAAAATTCTGCTCATAGATGTGAAAAATATGTGAGCATTCCCCATACACAGACAATAGCTAACATGTAGCTATTTTATTTTCTGATTTTATTCTATGTAATATTTCTCATTTCTGGGTGTAGGTGCCAAAAACCTCAACTCAGAGTAGCTGAGAAAACGCTGTCAAAGTAAAGAAATGCTATGTGTTGAGTGAAAATGTGCACTGAAGGAGAAAATCAAATCAGGGGAAGTGATTTCAGCACAGAGACTCAGACTGCGGGCTACACAGCCAGATGCCTGGATTCTAATTTTGTGACCTTGGGGAAATTCCCTAGCCTCTTTGTTCCACAGTTTCCTCATTTGTAAAGTGGGGACTAGGAATAGTGTTTTTCCATAGTGTTGTTATAGCAACCAAGTGAGTTACAGCATATAAAGCAGTACCTCTATTGTAAAAAGATACCTCAGTGCATGTGCAAAAATAGTGTCACCTGAAAGCAAAGTCAGGACATATTTAAATCAGAAAAATAAAATAAAATCCTTCTTTAGACCTTTATCCCCATCAAATGCTCGAGTGTGAGTGTTTGTGGTTGAAGTGTGAAGTGGAAGTTAGGAAGGAGAGTTCTCCAAAGCTAAACTGGCACTGCAATAAACAGAAATGTAAAATTGTTTGACACCACCTGCTGGTTACTGTTAGAAATGGCAGAAACAGCAGACATTCTGG